TGTGTGGCCTTATGACACACTTCCGGTGATGTCAGGGTGTGTGGCCTTATGACACACTTCCAGTGATGTTAGGGGGTGTGGCATATGCTAATGAATTATGCTAATGAGTTCCCCTAGCTCTTTTTCTACGAAACGACCCCTGTGTATTAGCATTTTATGGCTTCTCTTCCCATCTTTGTTTTGGTGTTCTGAAGAAGAAGGAGAGCAGCCATTACCTCTCTTCTAGTCTTGTCTTTGTAGTGTAAAGATGTAGGGAACTTAGCTCTGTTGTTATTTTCATCCCAGTTACCCTTCCCCATGCTAGAATTTAGTAAAAACTTTATATTTTAATCACACATGGACTCTCAGTCTGAATTACTTTACTCTGGCTCTGCTGGACTATCTTATCTCTGCTAAATACAATTTTTTCAATATCTCACTATCACCCAACAAATTACAATATTAGTAACAATATGAATGATGATCTTACAAATGGTAGTCATAATGTATAAAGGCGAAACTTGGCCCAGTGTTCCAGTAACTGATATAGAAGGAATGTAGACAATGTATTAGTTGTGAGTTGAATGCTGGCTCTTGATGGATAACGCACCTACTGTGATAAAAAGTGAAGGGAATACAAAATAAAGAGCTAGAAATTTGGGTGGTTCTGGGTTTAAGTTTTAATCTAAAAGTGTAGTAGGATTTATTTGTGAACCGCTTTGGGAGCCGGTCTGCCTGGATCAAGCGCCTGCCGCCACCTCAGTTTGCAGGGTGCAGAAAATCTGTGGTTTGCGGAGTCACCGTGTCAGTAACGGAACTGCACGTGGTGTTCCTTGTGGGGCGTGAGCCCTCGGAGCACAGGAGCCCAAGGAAGACCATGCGCTTGGCGAGGCAGTGCTGTGGCTCCAATGCTGGCCAGCTGCTGTTTGCCAGCCCCAGTCAGGGAGACTGTGATTCAAGGCAGCAGGCTCCCGGTTGGAATGAGCTTCGCCTGGCGTATGACTGTCGATGTTGGAAGCGAGATACGGTGTAAGGATTAGAACTTACAGATCTCAGGCTTTCATTAATGCGACCAAGCTATAAGTTTTCACAGTTTGGTTGCAGCCTGTTTGGGCTGAGCGTTAATTAAAAACACCTGGTGGCCTTGACCAGCTGCATAGGATGCCTTTACCTGGCTGCCAGGGGGGCTACCTAAGAGGGGGCAGTAGTCCCGCAGGGAAGAAAACAGAGGCTGAGGCCTCCAGAACTTCAAGCTGGAATGCTGCGGACTCTGCCTGTGGGAGTGGACTCTCTTTCTTCAGCCTTCGGGTGAGAAAGCCAGGTCGCAAGATTACCCCAGTGAAGGAAGCCACCAAGGAGTTAAATTTTAATCACACATGGACTCTCAGTCTGAATTATTTTACTCTGGCTCTGCTGGACTATCTTATCTCTGCTAAATACCATTTTTTTCAATATCTCACGATCACCCAACAAATTACAATATTAGTAACAATATGAATGATGATCTTACAAATGGTAGTCATAATGTATAAAGGCGAAACTTGGCCCAGTGTTCCAGTAACTGACATAGAAGGAAGGTAGACAATGTATTAGTTGTGAGGTTGAATGCTGGCTCTTGATGGATAACGCACCTACTGTGATAAAAAGTGAAAGGAATGCAAAATAAAGAGCTAGAAATTTGGGTGGTTCTGGGTTTAAGTTTTAATCTAAAAGTGTAGTAGGATTTATTTGTGAACCGCTTTGGGAGCCGGTCTGCCTGGATCAAGCGCCTGCCGCCACCTCAGTTTGCAGGGTGCAGAAAATCTGTGGTTTGCGGAGTCACCGTGTCAGTAACGGAACTGCACGTGGTGTTCCTTGTGGGGCGTGAGCCCTCGGAGCACAGGAGCCCAAGGAAGACCATGCGCTTGGTGAGGCAGTGCTGTGGCTCCAATGCTGGCCAGCTGCTGTTTGCCAGCCCCAGTCAGGGAGACTGTGATTCAAGGCGGCAGGCTCCTGGTTGGAATGAGCTTCGCCTGGTGTACGACTGTCGATGTTGGAGGCGAGATACGGGGCTAGAGGGAGCCTAGTCCAAGGCTGCAAAGCGGTTTGCCCTTACCTGACCTGGACAGCCCAAGCTAGCCCGGTCTCATCAGATCTCGGAAGCTAAGAGGGCTTGGCCCTGTTTAGTCCTTGGAAGGGAGCCCACCCAGGGAGTCCAGGGTTGCTACTCAGGGGGCTGCCCTAAGTAGGCTGGGACTCGATGGCACTCTCCACCACCAGAGCGGTCTAAGAGGGCCCAGAGGCGGGTAGTGTCTTCCCGGGCAGGCAAGGGGCAAAAGCACCCAGAGCTTCTTCAGAGCTTCAGAGGGGCCAGAGGCAAGTCCAGTAGAGAGGCCAGAGGCAGGGCGAGCAGGAGGTCAGGTCCTCAGTGCAAGTCACCGATGCCTTTCCCTCCCCAAACTCCCCAAACCTCGAAGCAGGCGCTGCTCCACTCAAATGGCTCCTTCTGTCCCAGCCTGAGGCACGGAGTGGTGGAAAGAATGGGACGAATGTCTGCCCTGACCTCGTTAACTCCCATAGCGTGGCCATTCTCCCGCCTGCACAGAGCACGCAAGGAAATGGAAACCTCCACGAAGAAGTTCCACCTTGAAAATCACCCGCTCTTTTAAATGTGTTGTGATAGTAACACCTCCCATCATGCCCTTAATGCGCAGCACCACTGATGGAACATTTGCCCTCTCTGATTAAAACTGGCTCTCCCCCCCGGCCCCAATGAATATAGGTGCAGATAAAATTTGCATCCGTGACAACTAGTTCTTTTCTTCTGGTTCCTCTAGAATGACTTTGAACAGCTGGCTAAACATACCGAAATCAACTGCAGGCACCTTTACCAGTATTTCCAGGATGCTCTTGTCCTCTGGGATGTTCATCAGCACAACCTCGTTCACCTGGAGAACGACCTTCATAGTAAATTGAATGACTTGCGGAACAAGCACGAAAATCTGAACAAGGTCAGAAGAGCAGCAGTCTGATTTCTGATGGGGGCAGGAGGAGGAGTAAGGAAATATACAGCAATGTAGAGGATCCAGCCTAGCTGAATTGGGCCAAAGGTCTATCTAGTCCAGCATCCTGTTTTTCACAGTGGCTGACCAGGTGGTTCCATGGAAAGTGGGTGAGTGGGAAATGTAGACTTCAGAGGGGGCTCTCCCCCCCGCCCCCCCAAGCTAGTGTTAAGAGTTGTCCTTCCTCTGAAGGGGAGCTTTCATTAACCCCTCCTGGTTTATTGCCATCTCTCCACGAACTGGATGTTACTTCCCTCCCTGTCTTTTTTCTTTTTGTATTTTTATATGTGCATGCGTGTGTGTGCGTGTGTGAGTGTACCTGGGAGTCATGGTGACCTCTGGTGACTGACCCCTCCTGGGGGCCTGGAGGATATTTTGAGAGGTGGCTGAATCAAGTCTGCCCCCGCCTCCCGACTGCTGGTATTCCCAGGAGGTCTCCCATCCAAGGGCTTGCCAGAGTTGGCCCTGCTTAGCTTCCGAGATCTGACGAGGCCGGGCTCGCCTGGGGTGTCCAGGTCAGCGCTTTCCCCACACTGTCTTCTGTGGTTGCTGTCTATTTCTCCCAGCCAGCCTCTGGTGCTGGAAGCAGAGAAGTAAAAAAGAAAAAGCCGGGTGAGAAGGCAGATGGGCAGGCTTCTTCTTTCATGTGGGCGTTCCATTGGGATCTGTGCTCCCACACTCCCTCTGGGGCCTTCTCTAGGGTTACTGGGGCAGGCGGAGGGGAGGAGAGGCAAGGCAGCACCGTGGGAATGAAAGAGGGAGGTTGGGACTTTCGGCGAGAGACTGGGAAATGCGACGGGGGACATGTGACTTGTGGCGCACTCTCTAAAAGGGCCCAGAGAGCAGCTGGTAGTGCAGAGGGTGCCAGCAGAAGGAAGAGGAGGAGAGGGAGGGAAGCCTCCTCTACTTCTGATGGATTCCAGCAGGGACATGTGAGGGCAGGGGGCGCGGCCAGAGACTGAGGAGAGGAAAGGCAGGGGGAGAGAGTCCACTCACCATTTTCTGTTAAAATAGACACACACACACACACACACACACGCACACACCCGTTTGACATGTAAACAGGTGGATGGTCAGATAAATATGTCTGGATGCCCTGGTCCAGTATCGCCTGAAGATGCTTCTAAATTGAGATAGAAATCCCACCTAATTCACTGACACCGACCGCAAGATTTGCTCTTGCAAGGAATCCGTTAAGTTTTTCTCCAACTGACTTACCCACCCAGTTAAAGCGTGCAGTCCTCTCTTAATGCCAATTGCTTCCTTCCACATGGCACCAGCTAAGGGAAGTTCACCTGGACATAGCCATCGACAAGCTGAGGACCCAAGGCTCCGAGGAGAAGCTGAAGGCCCAGCTGGAGAAGGTTTACACCGCCTTGGACTGCATCCAGGCCGGGTACGTGAAAGGCCGTCTGTGGCGCTTCCTGCGCAAGACCCTCCCCATCCTGTGCCAGGGCAGTTCACCCTCTCCCCAAATCCCGTGCCTTCGGCTTTCCTTTCTTGCTTCTGAGGTTTCACCAGCTGTGTTTTTTTTAAAGCTCCATAGAGACTAGAAAATTTGCTTTTTAAAGAGGAAACCGAAAGCAGGTGCAACTGCAAGCTCACTGAGTTTGTCAGGACCACTTTATTCAAACTATAAGGAAAGGCGAAGAAATCCTATCATCTTCGCTGGTTGCTGCATGTCAGAGGTGCACCGTTGCTGGAATCTCTGGCAGTGCTGGATGCCGTAGTTGTGTTGAAACTCAGTGTTTGGGACTGGAGGGCTTGAGTGGGACCCTTCCCCCATGAGCCACGGCAGGTGCTGAGCGTGCTCAGTCCTCAGACCCCCAATTCCGGCCCAGAAGGGAAGAGCACGGTGCAGTGTCAGCCCCGGTGTCTGGCTGCAGCCGGAGTGGGCAGGGCTGGGGTACCTATTGGGATGGAGCCTGGCCTTCTGCCCGAGCAGGACTTTGCCCCCACTCCTGCTTCTTCTGCTCAAGCCATAGATCTCCAGGGTGGCTGTTCTAAGGACCCAACAACGGCCTCTCCTGGTATCCCCCCCCCTCCGGGACCGCCTCTCCTGGTGTACCCCCCCAAAGAGTGTTGCCCTTGGTGGATAAGAACTTACTGGGGGTCCCTGGCCCAAGAGACATCCAGCTGCCCTTGACCAAGGTCAGGGTGTTTCCTGCCTTGGCCTCAACCTGGTGGAACTCTCTGCCGGATAACACCTGGGCCCTGTAGGATTTAATGCAGTTCCGCAGAGCCTGCAAGATGCAACTCTTCGCCAGGCATGGGGCTGAGGACAGGCGTGGTTTCCATCTATCTGGCACGCCTGTTTCCCCCCCCCCCCCCCCCCCAAACGATGCAATGGCACAACCGGTAGCTTAGCATCATCTTATCAGGGTGCTAATTGTGTTTTTATAGTATTTTCATGGTTTGAATAGTAGATTAATACATGGCTGTTATTATTTATTTATTTATATTTATCATTTCAACTTATAGCCCTCCCTCCCCGCAATGCAGGCTCAGGGCGGCTCACAATTAGGCATACGCCAACGCATTAAACAGTTAAAACCATAAAACCATTGTTACAAAATTACAAAAATTACAGAAAACATATTAAGTGCTCTAGATGTTCTAAACAAAATCTTTCATCCAGATGGCATTTCTAAGATGGTATACCTAATCAGTGCCATCTCTTCCCAGGGCCAGTTAACAATGACGGTACAATAGTGCGTTAGTATGTTATTATTGATGTACACCGCCCTGAGCCCTGTTTTCCAGGGAAAGGGTGGTTTAGAAACCTAATGTAATAAATAAATAAATAAATGAAAGTGACACTGTCGGTCTCTTTGGGTCCCCATTGGGGCACAGAGTGTGGAGTATTAATGTCTAACTCAATAAGGGCAGTTCGTCTCCCTTCCCTCCCCATAGCTGACTGTCTCCTGCCTGCAACCCTTTCTGCCTCAGTGACCATGCTTGGCCCTCGTCGGGCCATTTTGACTACTTCCTCAGTGTTAATTGAAACACTATTTTTTCCCCCTGCGGGCCATGGAAATTCCCAAATGCACAGAAATCCTGACCTGGTTGTTGGTGGTGGGGGGACCCTTTTGCTGCCCTCGGGATAGGTAAAGTAAAGGTAAAGGTTCCCTTGCTCAAAAGCCAGTTGAATCCGACTCTAAGGTTGCGGTGCTCATCTCCATTTCAAAGTCGAAGAGCCAGCGCTGTCCGAAGACATTTCCGTGGTCATGTGGCCGTCATGACTAAACACCAAGGCCCATGGAACGACCACAAATTTTGCTCTTAGAGGGAAGAAAGAAGATAATCCTAGCCCCTTGCCCATACATTTGTGGCTGTCGCCAAATCTTGTGCAAGTGGAATGGGGCATACTGTTTGCCTTGATTTTTCTTTGTACAATATCTTGACATAATGCGCTTTAGAAATGAATAAAAATGGAGCCATTTCAGAAATTGAATGTTAGCATTACGATGTGCTGTTCAACTGTTCTGTCCCAAGTCAACGTTGCATGTTACATATTGACAGATTCTGGCTCCCGCTGTGTTTCAGCCCTCAGACAGTTGTTGATGGCTGCTGTAAAAATCATCTGATGCCATCTATGAACAGCAAGCATTTTCACAGTCAGAGAGTATCTGGAAAATGTCTGCTGCCGATTTGGCGGAGGAGGGTTTGCCAGGGGCAGAGGTGGCGTGTGGGACTTCACTTTCACTCACCAATTGATTGGCAGGTATGAAGCCTTCCACCAGGACCTGGAGACCAAAATAGGAGTTTACCCGCAGAATGTTCTGAAAGAACTGATTGCCTACAGTGCCTGCATCAGCCAGTATTTTCATGTGAAGGAGACCTATGAAGGGGTAAGTGGGAAACCAGCCTGCTCCTTTGAAGACTCTCATCCTGTTGCTCTCTCCCTTCCGTCATTTGGACCTTCCCTCAATTCCTTGTCAGTAAGGGAGGGGAACCCCCCCCCCAGGAGGGTGGTCACATGCTCTGTGCATTGAGAATGCTGTAGCAAGGCAGACATGTTTTCTGGAAGGCCTAGAGGGAGTGCACTTGCAGCAATGATACCACTGGGCCGCATCCCTGCTTTGTGTTTCCGTGCTGTTCTGTATCGGCTTCGCACACAGGCAGGCTCCTCCTCTGAACGGCATTAGATCTCCTTGGCCCTAAGGATCCTTCTTTGTTTGTTGTACTCCTGGGCTTCAGCCCCAAGCTCTGGCTGGGTCTAGCCATCCCAGTGACCGCACGTGGTTCTCTGTTTCCGTCTGGCTTTTGTGGCAGCTGTGCATGTTGTGTGTGTGGCTGGCGTGCTGAGCCTCTTGTGTTCCACCTCAAGGGTTCCTTGGCTATTTGGCGTACTGGTTGTCTCCAGGGGTGTTGTGAACACCTGCATTATGTCCTCGTAGGGCGTGGCTGCTGCTGGCACTGGGCATCTGCTGGAGCAGTTCATGCAGGTGACAAAGAGGGGGAGCAGGAGGCCATATAGCCCCTCTGTACACTGCCTTGGTCAGGCCACACCTTGAGTACTATGTGCAGTTCTGGAGGCCTCACTTCAGAAAGGATGTGGGCAAAATTGAGAGGGTGCAGAAGAGAGCGACGAGGATGATCAGGGGTCTGGGGACTGAGCCCTACGAGGAAAAGCTAAGGCCTTTGGGAATGTTTAGAAGAAGAAGAAGAAGAAGAAGATATTGGATTTATACCCTGTCCTTCACTTGGGAGTCTCAGAGCGGCTTACACGAACTCCTTTCCCTTCTCCTCCCCACAACAGACACCCCCTGTGAGGTGGGTGGGGCTGAGAGAACTCTGACAGAAATGGCTCTTTTTCAAGGACAGCTCTTGTCAGAGCTTGTGACTGACCCAAGGTCACATCAGCAGGTGCAAGTGGAGGAGGAGTGGGGGAATCAAACCCGGTTCTCCCAGATTAGAGTCCGCACACTTAACCACTACACCAAACTGGCTCATTAGTTTGGAGAAGAGGAGACTGAGGGGGACATGATTGCTCTCTTTAGATATCTGAAAGTCTGTCATTGGGAGGAGTGCAAGGAGCTGTTCCAGTTGGCAGCAGAGGAGAGGACCCGAAGCGACGGGTTTAAATTACATGTAGAAAGGTATCAGCTGGATATCCGGAAAAACTTTTCCACGGTCAGAGTGGTTCAAAGGTGGAATCAGCTGCCCTGGGAGGTGGTGAGCCCCCCTTCACTGACAGCTGTCAAGAAGAGGCTGGACAAATAGTTGTCAGAGATGCTTTGGGCTGGTCCTGCATTGGGCAGTTGGACTAGATGGTCTGTATGGCCCCTTCCCACTCTTATGATTCTATGTTTCAAGTAGGGAGCCTTTTGCCTCCTGTGTTTCTATGGCTGCTGCTGGAAAGACTGCTAATAATAGTCTTTGCGAAACTTCCTCTGCCAGACCTTTCTGTTAAGTCAAATGCAAAGGTTGTGGTCGAGTGGAACCCCTGCCTTGGTCGATCAGGCCAACTGAAAACAGCGTTGTCGGCTTTCATTAGAACGGACCAAGGACTATGATTCCCTGATGTTACTAGACGGGGGAAAACAAACTGTGGTTTCAGAAAAGAACAGTTTTAAAAAGCTGTCCCATGAAGTACAGAGCGGCCATTTCCAAGTGGGTGATCTGTCCAGCGTTGAATGCTTTGGGGAAGTGTGTCGTCCCCCCCCATCCCGCTGCTTCCCAACAGCATCGTGGTCCTTTTGTGGACCTCCCCCCCCCCGGGGGGGGTTAATTTTCCCCAGCTGTTTGCTGATCTTTCTCAAACCTGTGTTGCTGTGAAGTTTTGGGAAACATGATATTGCAGTAAAGTCTGGGTGGCCTCTGTGCGAGTGGGGAAATTTGGATTCCTTGCCCCACATGGCAGCCATTGTCTCAGACCATGTCCCCACAGCAGCCATTTCCATGGTATATCTTTGCAAGGGTGTGTGTGTGTGTGGGGGGGACGGAGACTTTCTTGAGAAACAAGAGCTGGGAGTTCAGAGAACCTGTCCCCGCTGTGACTGTGTTCTAGTGTTGAGTCCTTAAAAACAACAGCAGAAGACCTGGTGGCCCAGATGAGGGGGAGGGGGGCTGGGGCGGGGAAGCTCCAGGGAACCCCCCGCCCCGTGGCAGTCCCATTGCCGCTGTTCCTTTTTCTGCAACTGCACCAGCAACGGGGAAATCACAAAATCCCGTCCCTGTCTGGAAACCACCAAAATCGCCTGCAGCTGATTGCACAGTTGAGTCCTGTTTTTAAAAATGTCCAGACCATTCCTGACCCCTGAGGCAGGCTGTTTTCACATGGCACTGACTCTCCAGATAGCTCTTATTGCTGCTGCAGAAGACAGAGGCCACGGAGCACCCACACGGCAGATGCCATCCCTCCCCCAGGTCACCAGAGGACTCTAAAACCCAGTTGACAGATCGCTCTAGCACAACAGCATTATACTGATCTGTCGCTAAAATCTACTGCTTCCCCGCATGTATTTCAGCCTTTTTTAATGGGAAAGTTGCAGGCATAAAGAATTACTTTTTAAAAAATGAAAGCTGAGAACGTATAGATTGTGAAATGGATCATTATACCGTTATATAGAGATCTGGTAATTCCCTTCCTTTTAAAAAGCAGTCTGGTGAAGTGGGTTGGGTGGGAGGGGTGGCCGTGGGAGGCTGAGGCAAGGGAATCCGTTCATCAGCCACCCAGAGGCTCATCTGAGGCGGCAGCCGAGTGCCTAGATGTGCCCCAACGAGACTTAAAGGCTAAGAATGATAAGTCTCTGGTCCAAATCTGTCCGGCACCAACGTCTCACTAGCTGGCCTTGTGGGCAGGCTATCCTCCTATCCTCAGCCTTCCGAATCTGCAGCCTGGAGGCAAAATACCAACCTGTCCTATTCGGTTGCTGTTTGATTTGCGACAAGATAACATTTGTGACATACTTTTAACAATTCAAGGCACTAACTAATATCTAAACATCATTATTGTTCGTGGAAAACAGTGAATCATTCTTGTCGATTTCTCTTTCTGAACCCTCAATGTCTCTTCTCTTCCTACCTTGTTTTTACTTAGGAGCCATTGAGGAAGGCCAGGGCTGAAGAAGAAGAAGAAGAGGCAGGTAATTTCTGTTCATGCCATGTAATTTTTCTTGATTATTTCCACTAAAGAAGAATCAATTACTTCTGCGACATTTAATTTATTTACTTTATTTATTTATTTATTTTTGGGATTTATATCCTGCCCTATCCAACAGCTCAGGGCGGCTAACAGACGGCCATGCCGAAGTTAAAATATGCACACAACAATACAGCATAATAAAACAATGTATCCTACATAAAATTTGGTGCTCTGATTATATAAATAAAGCTCTGTTAGTTGACCACGACTGTTCTTTCCCCCTCCCTCCAATTCCACCTACTCTGTGGACGGTTTCCAAGGGCCAGCCAACCTAACGTCCAGTGTCATCTCAGGGCCAAAATGCATGATGCGTGTGACAGGAGTTGGAACACGGGCATCCAACTTGACTTGTCGTCACCCGTAGGATCGGAGAACTCGCCTCCGAAGCATTCTGTTGTTCGGGGGGTGGGGGGGGGGGGGGGGGAGACTTCAGGCTCCCCTCCCACGCTGTTTTTGGTCTGCCTGCAGCTCTTTCTCCTGTCCTGCATTTGACTACAAGTCAGGTCTGGCAGCCATGTCTCAGCTTATGCGCATTGTGCATTTGGCCTTCCAAGACCAGCAAGATAACCTTTAGTGCGTCAGAGCTTGCTTCGTCACAGGGGAAGTCGTGTTAGTCTGTGGCAAATCTAAACAGGAGTCTTGTGTCACTAAGGTTGGTGGCCTCCGGGTGAGGCCCAGATATCTGCCGGAATTTCAGCTGATCCCCAGGTGAGAGGGACCAGATCTTCTAGACCACCTCCAAAATCTCCAGGAGTTTCCCAGGACTTCATCCCTGTCCGTGGAAGTAGGAAATCGCATAGGGACTGTGATACAGAGGGAAGTGAGGTTCCCTCCTTCACACGTCCCTGAGGGTTCCCTACCCTATAAGTGGGCCATGGCCAGTGGTTGGCACCACACAACTGGGCCGTAGTTTTCCTAGGTAGAGGCTGCGGGGGGGGGGGGGGGTAGAACCATTTGGAAGGTTGGACAGGTAAATGTAGGTTGGCAGTTGGATGGGCAGGAGAGAGAGGCAGGGAAAGGAGAGAGGCTATGGGGACTTTCAGGAAAGTGAAAGAGGAAATAGTGTGGGAGTGAGAAATGAGATGCCTCCCGCAAGTCCTTAGGATACTTAAATCTGGTGATTGGGGCTGTGAACAGGCAAGAGAGATCTTTTGACAAACCTAAAAAAACACCCCAGGTTTGCAGGAAAATGTGAAATCTGGGGGAAAAAACAACCCCAACCCAAAACCATTGGGGGGGTTAAAAGAACCCCAACATGATAAAAGGAGTGCCTGTAGCTTTAAGAAACAGAGTCCCTCAGTGGCTGTTGCTAAGCAATGGCCACTTTATATGCCTTGTTTCTGTGAGGAAAAGGCCAGCTTGGGGGGGGAGGGAGGAGGAAGGGACCCTTCCGGGACCTTTTTAACTTGAAAGGGAGGACTTCTTGGGACCATGCCTGGCAGCAGCCACTGCGTGACTTGAAGCCACCTGACTTGCATGACTCAGCTGGGCCCGGCCGCTTGCTCCTGTTCAGAAGGAGGCACCCTACAGAAGCCAGTGTGGTGTAGCTATTAGAGCTTCAGAGCTGGGTCTGGGAAACCCAGGTTCCAATCATCAGTTTGCCATGGAAGCTCACTAAGTGATGCTGGGCCAGTCAGACACTTTCAGCCTGACCTACCTCACACGGTTGTTTTGAGGATAAAAAAGGAGGAGAGGGAAATGATGTGAGCTGCTTTGGTCCCCACTGTGGAGAGAGTTAGGGCATAAATGAAGTAAATGAATAATGAATATAGCTGAAGATGGGGGGGGGGGCAAATAAAAGGTGGGTTGGGGAATAGCTGAGAAGAAGAGAATGAGACAGGGAAAGGCATGTGGAGGTTGCTACGAGGAGGGGGAAATTTGGGGGAGGGATGCAGGGGAAAGTCCGCCAGGGTTCCCTACAATGCCAGTGAGCCTGGCCCAGCAGCTGACGCTCTACAACTGGTTTTCCTAGGTAGTGGCTGCCGGG